GGCAAAATGGATATTTGAGGAGGAGTTAGTGAGGGTGAAATTGGAAAGCCCATTTTGAAGGCCCAAAGTTAGGTTTAACAAAAAGGAATTTTGAGGGAATTAGGATTCATTCTTGTTAGACCGTGAAAAGGGAAGAAATAGAGGACAGAGCTCTGAAGAAGAGGATTGAGGCAAAAGTTTCGCGAGGTTTCCAAGAATCAAGGAAAAAAGCTTAGAGTCGGCAATTAAGGTATGAGGAGTATTGCCTTCATTATTTTCAATATGTGATTTCAATATATTTAAAGCCGATTTAAGGGTTTAAAGGGTTTGAGGCTGATTTTGAGATAAAGGAAATTAGGCCTTCGTGGCCAAAATCTATTATTGAGGTTTTAACCGTACAGGGATTTAAAATGATGGTCTGATAGGTTCGAAGTCGATTTGGGTTTGAGGGAAAGTAGGCTTTCGTGGCCAAAATCTGTTGTTAAGGTTTCAACCCTGTAAGGTAATTAGATTGTGAGAAACTCTAATGACTGTGGTGTAGTTGTGAGGAAATTATGGGAATTAAAGCGTGAATATGATACGGGATTTGCCTAATAAGTCGTATATTTTTTGCCTTTATCACCGTAATACCTTAGGAATGATTTAGGGATGTTTTGGGGGTATTGGGGAAGGAAATCGTTGGACTTTTGGGTCGATTTTAGGTTCTAGTGCATAATAGTGTTTTGTTGTAATCGCGTGTTCGCACAGCGAACAAACTCGTCCCAGACTCGCACAACGAAGAATCCTTCACACAGCAAATAGACTCGCCCCAGGCTCGCACAGCAAACTTGCTAGCGAATGTAACAGAGTTTTGCGAATTTTGATTTTGTGCAACGATGCCTTGATGTTTTGATGTTGTGATTTCTTTGACGAATTAATATGAGTATGACTGTGATTTCTATGTGATTAGTACATGATTATATGATGATTCCTATGATGTAATGATGATGAGTTATGATGATAGTTCCATGAGTTTTGATGATTCTATGATGACATGAGATATGATGATGATTGTGATGATGATGATTTTGATGATGATGATTTTGATGAATGATGATGCACCTATGATGTTATTATGAGGATGATTTTTGACGTGTGCATCATGCATTCATGTGCATCCAGACTTCGGTTCAGGACCTTGATTTCTTTGGCTTCAGTCCCATTGTGCGGATGTGAGGTATTTTGATGTGCTCCGGTTCTTGTATAGAATCGATCCTATTGATGGGGATCTATGGGGGGTTGATGGCCCAGTGTTCATCGAGCTGTGATGATTGGTACCACATGCATGAGTCTTGTTGCATTTGCATTTATGAGATAATTTGGCGCAATTTATGATATTGTGAACTTTGATGTTCCTTGATGATTATGATGATGTTGAATATGAAAATGACGTCATTTTATATATTGAATTCCTATATTGATTATTATGAATCGTTTTACTCACCCTGCCTGTTTGAATGTTGCCTCCACGTGGGTAACGTGCAGATGACCAGGTTTAGCCATGGATGATGTCGAGGATCTTTTTGGAGTTTTGAGTTGTTGGCCATTTTGGTTAACTTAGAGGGCCTTGCTCTGATAGTGTAACATCGGGTTGGGGTCTTTGAGTTAAATCATGTTTTATTTGATTTTTGTTATTTTGATTATGTTTCCGTACAAGGAAAACTTTGGATTATGCCTTTTTGAGTTTCGCTGCCTTTTGAGCAATTTTTTTTAACTTTTGGGAAAACCCGTTGTTTACGGAGTCTTGACCTATATTTGATTTATTGGGAAATGTACGTCCTTTGAGGTGATTTTTTTTTAGTTTAATATTTTACTCTGATAAATGTGAATATTTTGCCATGAAAATTGTGGGGTAGAAAAGGGTGTTACAAAATGCTGGGTGAAAAAATGAGGGTGTGACAGGAAGTTTTGAGAATCTCCCAATCATCTTTGGCTTTAGTACATATGTTGATCAATCTAAACATTTTCTTGTCAACACCATTGAAAATAATATTCAAGGCCTTAGAGTTTCCAAGAGCTTCATTATCTTCTGCATCAGCTCATTCAGCTTCAAACTTCAAACTTGTTGAACCATCTTGAGAAGTAATAACATGATATTTCCACCCTTTAATTACAACCTTCAAATTTTGGTTGTCTATGGATTTAAGAAAGGAAGTCATATTAGCTTTCCAATAGTCATAATTTGTGTTATCCAAAATAGGTGGTCTATTGATAGACCCCCCATCCTTTTGTGTTGTTCATATGAACATAAAATATCTTCCATGGAGCTCAGCAAACAGAACATGGTTCTTGCTCTGATGCCAATTGTAATTTTTTCCTAACGGGACAACTGTTGGACCAGATGTTGAGACAACTTGTCCAACTTTTAACACCAGTTTAACAACAGTTTGGCAAAAATGATACAATAATAATAAACAATGCAGAAAGTAGTAAAATAACACAAGAGATTGGTAACCTAATTCGGTGAAACCACACCTACATCTGGGGGGAACTCTACCCAATAAAGGAAATTCACTACTATGAATTAGTACACTTAGTCTTACAAAAACCAACAAACCTTATGTTGCTCAAAGCCTCTTCCTAATTCTAATGACTTTCTATTTAAGAACTCCCCCTAAATATGAGAACCTACTTATTTTCTTCTTAATCACACACCCTGTGATTGGTGTTTACAATTCAAATAACCAATGTTGAATATTGCAACTTAACTAAGACAAATTTTCTATGCCAAGTTACTAAAACATAGAGGTGCACAATGGTAAATTCCACACTAATCCATCTATGGCATTAGCTTGGAATATAAGAAACAAAATACTTAAACCCAAGCATAAATAACATAGTTCTTGCACACCAAAACTCTTGACAAATAATGAGAATTGAGTCTTCTTATATAGCAATGTATTATAGGCTTTTCTCCTTGTGGATATGCATTTAATTCGTCCAGAAAATAGTTGAATAAGTTGGATATGATTTACTCCTAAAATCTCTTAAATCAAAAGATATGATTTATTCTATTTCAAATTCAAAATTAAATTTGATTTGAACATCTCCATCTGTCAAAAAAATTAATAAGACACTGCTAAAATAACAGTATCAAATCTAATTTAAAATCAATTAGAAAATATGGAACAAACAACATCCAACAATGCCCGTTGTAAAGGTCATATGTTGTATAACACATATTGGAACACTGAGTTCAACATGTTGCACTAGTACATCCAAAATCAACTCTTCTTCTTGACTTGTAGATCTTCTATTGAGGAGAGAATCTTGGATAGACGAAATCATAACCAACTATAATCTCCATCTGTCTATTTTCAAGAGATGTTGCATCCCACATGTTAGAACATCTTGTTCAACATGTATCACCTATGCACTACAACTAGCTTCAGCAAACTCCATGTTGTTTTGTGTAATTCAATCAATCCCAATAAGACCAACATACTGAACTAGCCTCGACCTAGTTTAATTTTAAATCACTGTTGAAGAAGTGATTAAGTTATTCAAAGGCGAATTCACTAATATGCCTCTGGTCCTTTTCGGTTGGCATGGGTTGAGTTCTGGTTCCTTCTTCCTGCTATGATACCTCCAAGTGAATAGACGAAGTCGTAATGTTCAAATTTTGCAAGCAGGACCTCCATTGGATGTCTTTGATGATGTTTCTCTAGTCCTTTACTCTTTCATCCATGGTGTTAGATCTTCCGCTCTGCTTGGGTGACTTGTCGACTCATCGATGATCAATGGATCCCTACCTTCGTATGTATTCAAATCTGATTGACGGAGATTTAATTGCTTTATCGTGTCGGGGAAGAAGTTATTACGTGGATTCTGTAGTCCACGTGGGATCTTGTGATTGATCCACCAATGACGGTAATTGTGATAATTACAAGCAACTCATTGATCGAGGTTCTACCTATCATCTCAATCACATTTATTTCCTCATGACCTAGACACATAGTGCCACTCGATCCTCATTTTAGGGTTCAATATCAATTAATGTTCGGAAGAGGTGCTCTGATAACGGGTCACCGCTGGATTTCGTTGCGTTGCAGACCTTCACCAATGTTGATAATTGAGGTAAAACTAAATTGGAAGATTTTGTGATGTATGAAGTGATTATCTCCTTCTCTCGGTGGCCTCAGTAGAAATATAACTTTGAATCGATGATGATTTATTTGTTGAGTTTCGTGGAAATTAGCATTCAATTTCCACATATGGCACCACTGTTACATACTTGAACTAGAATTGGTGTTAATCGGTGATGGAAGACACTGAATCAGTGGTGCTGATCTCTGATGCAGTGACTAGGGGTGGACTTGCAAGGTTAGCACTCTAACGTTTAATTCAATTCAGAGTCCAAGATGAGTATAATGAAAAATAGAGATCAGAAAGTGTATTTTGAATCTCATGTGTGCTAACTTTATACGTTGGATTATTTTAACGGGACCTACGCATGGTTAGACATTTGCTTTGGGTCTTTGACCGGTGCACAATATATATATATATATATATATATATATATATATATATATATATATATATATATATATATATATATATATATATATATATATATATATATATATATATATATATATATATATATATATATATATATATATATATATATATATATATTTTATCCATGTCACCGTCATTTTACACACACAAGAACTTAGATGCCACGTTGACATATGCTTGCATGCGCACCTAACTAATTCACAACTGACCATGTCCTTTAATATTTTATTTAAGATCATCAACTATTCAATGTTTTAAAAACAAAGAAGACTATATATATTTTAGATTTCATAAGCCTAGAAGAAGACTTACCAAAAATATTTAACTTTAAATTTTAGAAACATTAAAATATAAGATGCTTACATAAGCGATATATGCATTGATGGTTATATAAATAATTAATGTTTTTATAGAAAACTTCATAATCAAGTGTTTTCAATTTCAACTACTCCATCAACAACATGTTAGCAATATCCCCAATAGGATGGCCCTTTGAAGAGTCCATAAGCCATAACCAGAATCCAAATCACTTCTTCAAAGACGCTTCTGATCAATTATTTCACTTTCATCATACAGAAAATACTTCAACTGATCCATCACAGGCTACAAGTAGCGACCTTAGCATGGTGAAGAAGCTTGTTCATAACGCTAGCGAACGCGATCGCTGCAAGAAGATCAATAACTTGTATTCATCACTTCGTTCACTTCTTCCTTTATCAGATCAAATGGTACGTACTTCATTTCCTCTCTCTTTGGAGACCCTAACTATTAAACTTCATTCATTATTATTAACAGTATTGATTATTTCCTATGCTGCAGAAGAAGTTGAGTATTCCATTAACGATTTCAAGAGTCTTGAAATACATACCGGAGTTACAGAAACATGTGGAGGGACTGATCAAGAGAAAAGAAGAGATCTTGTTCAGACTTTCGCCGAAAGTTGATCATGAGGTAAAGAATCATAGTTACAACTCAGGTTCTGTGGTTTCAAGTTGTAGAGTCAATGATAGTGAAGTTAGTATTCAGATTTCATGTTACAGTACTGTCCAGAATGTTCCACTATCTGAGATCTTGCTCTATTTAGAAAATGATGGGTTTCTGCTTCTAAATGTTTCTTCCTCTGAGACATTTGGAGGGAGAGTCTTCTATAATTTGCATTGCCAGGTGGATGAAAGAAAGAGAATAGAATCAGATATTCTAAATGAGAAGCTCTTATCAATAATGGAGAAGTAGGGGAAGTTTCATCTCAATAAAAATTAGTTACATTGGCTTTCATTTTTTATGATCAAATGAACTCATATATCCATTTTATATGATGTATGATTGTGTGTACAATTATTAGCTCATATGTTCCTTCTATTTAAGTCACAATTAATATTAACTAGTATTCAAGTATTTAATTTTTATAGTTTTACTTTAATGTAGTTATTTTAATCTTTTTATCTATTTACTAGTTTATTTTATTTTCCTATTTTTGATTTGGTTTTTAATTAAGTTGAGAGAGGTTATTAGAGTGTTGGTTGAAATCTTGAATCTGTTTGAGGTGAGAAAAGATAATGGTTGCTATCTCCTTTTCTTGAACCACTGTATAATAATCATGCATTCTCTTTATTTTGTTTTTAATGGCAAAACAAATATATAAATAATAGAGAATTACAAATCCATCAATAGTATAAAAAGTATAAAACTCAAAGAGTAAAAAGCATAACAAAGAACAAAGGAAAAAGAAAACAGCGAGACAATAAACCACAAACAATCAAACTAAAAATCCAGAAGAAAAAAAAAAACAAGTTGACCATTGAGAAAAAATCACACATTTAAACCTCACCCAATAAAAAATATAGACTAGATCTCAGACTATCACGACCACCATCAACAAAATAAAGACCCCTAAAATGGAACCATAACCACAATAATTTTTGAATTTGATTTAAATTATTGAACATACTACAAAGAAAGAACATGAGTCCATACCTCATTTAGCAAGAAATTGATTCCATACCAAACAATTGTTCTTCTTCTCCACCTCTTTCACATTTGTTGAAGCGGCGAAAAAAATCATAGCATTATGCATTGTCCAAATAGTCCAATTCTCCACCATATAAAAGAAGATGTAAAAGAAATACTAAGATTCAATTGGATTTGATAAGCATAAGTGTTGCGGTGAGAATAGGATATTAAATTATTGATTAATTTGAATCGCATATTTAGTTCACAACCGGTCTTTGATTTATCTGAAGGAAAGGTTAAAGAAAGGAAAAAACCTAGTTTTGCATCGTAAACACAATGCGGGGAGAGATCTAAGGTTCGGGGGTTGGTTAAGCTTAGGGAAGATATTAGCACCCTAAACTTTTGTAGTACTCTACAGGAACCACTTGTTTTAATGTTGATATTTTGCTCATTATTATCTGCTTAAGGGTATATGCTAAGGGTTAGAAGGTGAAAAGAAAGACCTAAGGGTTAGTCCTAAGTTTACTCGCCAAGATTCGCATCTTGAGCCTATGTATCCGAGGTAGGGGATGAAATCAGAGTAATCGTAGTTCCCCTCGAAAGGGAGGAAGAGAAACTTATTAACTATGATCAAGGTTTCAATGGGGAATAAGCATTCTTAAGAAAGCACTTACGTGGAGTGCGTCGACTCCTATTTCTACATTGTAATTGAATTGAATTTAAAAATGGTAAAATAGGTATTCCACGGCGGAAAACCTAATACGGAGTACGGCGACTCCTTATCCTAAAGTTATAGGATAAAGGGTAAAGTTGTCAGCGGCAGGACGCCTATGCAATTAGGGTTTGAGTGGTGAAAGATGTAAGGGTTAAGGATTATTGACGCGACGATCAAACGACTATACCTATCCTTCGGAGGGGAATTAACAGTACAATAAATATAATGAAAAATTATCAAGCAACGCTATTGAAATATTGGAAGATGCGCCAGAATAATAACAAAATAAAAAGCGACGATATCCTCGCATAATTTACAATCATGAAAAATGAAATACAAACAAAATATGAGGTTAGTAAACGAGAAGAAATGAAAAATAATGTTAGGAATGAAATAATAATTAGACGAAAGTTCAACGGGAATGTCAAGAATTTTTATTTTAGAATTTTCAATTTAGTTTAGGTTAGAAATTAGAAATTTAGGTTAAAAATATTGTAAAAAAAGTTTCATAATTAATTGAAAATGATTTTAAGTTTAATGTATTTAAAATGTTAGTAATAAAAAAAAGTTTGAGTAAAATATTTGTTTATATAAAAAAAAGTTAATTTTAATTTTTTTGAGAAAAAAAATTTAATTTCAATTTTCAAAGAAAAAAATGTTAGAACTTAATTTAAAAAAGATGTTATATTCTAATTTTAAAAAAGATTTGAATTTTAATTAAAAATAAGTTAAATTTTATTTTTAAAAAAATGTTAAGTTTAAAGAAAAAGTGTTAGTTAATTTTAATATTAAGAAAAAGTTTATTTTAATTAAAGAAAAAGAATAAATCAGAATTAATAACGAAAGAAGAAAATAGAAAATAAAAAGTTAAAGGGGCGACGGATCCAGTGTGGTCGTGTCTGTGAGGTGCACCGTGGGTGTGCAAGCGTGTCACGTCTGATCAGTGATTAGTGATGATGGAGGGTGACGATGATGTGGTGTACTGTGATACGGTAGGGTCACACACAGGTGATTAAATGTACAATATATAACAATAAAACCCTAAAAATTTGCTTCTTCCTCCCCATTTGTGTTTATGGTCCGCCGCCCCCTTCTTCTTGTCCCTCTCCAACTTCTGAAATTTTCTCTCTTCCTCCTTCTTGTTTGCATGCTCTTCTCTTTTCTTCTTATTTTCTATGGACCTCTTCTTTTCTAAACCTGAAAAAAAACCACCAAAACGTTAACATCAGGGAGCTCACATTTTTTTATTTGATGATGTTGTTCGTCTTACGAGGATGATGATGTTGGTCGCGATGTTGAGTGTTCCGTAATGATGATGATTCACATGTCCGCTTGGATAAGTTGCGGGTGACAATGATGTCTCGTATGGTTGTTGAGGACAGTCGATGATGAGGAAAGTTGAGGCTTGTGGGTTTTTTTCCGGTGACGGTGGTTGATGAATCTTTTGGGTCCGTTTTTTTATTAACGGTCGCGGATCCTTTTTTCACTGATGTTTGATGATTTTTATGCTGAGGATTTTTTAGGGTTTTGGTTTGCGGCGGACCCCCCTTTTTCACTGATGTTTTGTGATGATTTTATACTTTTCATCTTGGTTCTGGGCCTGGATTTTGTGACTTACGTTATTTTCTTAATGGTAATTTCTGAGATTTGATTTGGCTTCTTAGAACAGATGGATCCGCGGATTTGTTGGTTATTAGTTTTAACGTTTTGACTTTGTTTTGAACCCAGATGGATTGTAGTTGCGTTTTTCATGGAGATTTTGTTTTGATTTATTTTGGAACAGAGATTTGTGGACTTGGCTATTCTTGGTACGAAACTGGATATGGGTTTGTACTTTGGACATCCATATTGGTTTTGGATCCGTTTGGCTTGCTGGATTTTTGGATATCCAGATTTGGCTTGCTGCATTTTTGGATATCCAGATTTGGCATGCTGGATTTCTTTAAGGCACTGTTTGGCTGACCAAATAACACTTTTTCAAAAGCACTTTCTCTCTCTCTCTCTCTCTCTCTAGGAATAAATTGAACAGATATTGTCGGGTTGTGCCGAGGTCAGAAAGTGAAGTCGGGAGTTGGCAGTGACCTCGTCGTTGTTGCCCTCCCGACACGCCCAATGATGAAACTTTCCTGAGGGTGTCGGAATAATTAAAAAACCATTTTTGATGCAACTTAATCCTAACCAGATGACGATTATTTTCATGTGTTGTCGGTTTTGTAGGTTCGAAAAGTTGAAGGTTGAAGATCGTCATGAAGAACACTTAGAGAAAATTAGGATTTTTAGGACCTTAGAAAAATTAGGATTTAATTTGTAATTCCCAAATAAAAATGTAATTATTCTTGCATATTTTGTAATAAACTTTGTACAAAAATGAATAAATTCAATCTTTTTAATAAATGAAATCCTATTTCCCGACCAAATTTCTCCGATTAAATTCATCAGACTAAATTCATCTGATTAAATTTATCTGATTAAGTTCATCCGAATAAGCTTGGATGTTCCAACCTCCGAATTCGACAGTTAAACATCTTGCACAACTTAGAATCACATCCAATCTAACTTCTGAGTTCAACTAATCCCTGACGATTAATCTGTATTCGATAATGAAAATTGGTGAATATTGCCTTTGACCAGATAAACAGAGAGGTCCAGTTTTTAATAACATGGATTTTCCTCCGCATCTGAAATCCCGATAAATTCTTCAAAGAAAATTCTCGCACCGATTTAACCCGAATCCACTTATATTGCAACGCACTCAGCTCCATATGGCTTATGAATCAAACAGCACTTCAAAACCTAACTGACGACTACCTCAGGTTCTTGAACCATAATTATTTGAGGAATCTATGATAATGCCTTCGCTTCATAAATTGCCAGCAGGATGCAAATTAATGACCCTTTTTCCCTTCATAAATTAAATCGCACACAGTGTGATTTTCCTGCAAAACCGACAGACTGGAAAAACCGGTTAGCGGTTAGATAAAATGCAATGCATAATGAAATGAAATGCAAAATGAACCTACTAATTTAAGGGTAAATTTTGGGGTATGAAAGTTTCCCCTATTTAAATAGCTTCACTGGATGATTTGAGCGACGAAGGCTCGAGAAATCATGGTGAAAGAGATTTAAATACAGATAACAGAAAATTTTGCCCTTAGATGCAGTGATATGCAATGCTATGGACAAAACGAAATGAACTATAATGCTAACAATGCCATGAATCTAGTATGATGCATATGAATAAAATGATAAATGCAAGGATGCAGACGACACGACGAGATGAGGACAGACGCCACGAGCAAACACACACTGGGGAATACGGCGCACTGGGGAAGCAGCACGACACTGGAGAAGTCTAAAGTGATGACCAACCGGTGCGAGTGCGACCAATTGTCACTTTTAGAAATAAACGATAAGACGGGATCCTCAATGGAGATGGCACCGACGAGATGGTCTCCACTGGGGAAATATCCAAGAGTAACTGTTCAACAGGTTCAGGCATGATCGGCTGATACTTTAGGGTAGGATCAAGTAGACAGAATGCGGGAGCATTGAGCAAGAATAACATCCG